CCTGCATTTGTGTATGTTTAGTTTAGTTAAACTTGTGTGTTTATACTTATCTCTGACATTCTACAATTGTTGTGAGGATACTTTGGTTTGGGAGGACATTCCGCCTGGCCCTTACAGTGAAAACTGGTAAATGTACTTCTTTAAGTATGTATTTATTACTGAATAACATCTACTGTTGCCACAAGTGACAACTGCTGAATAATGCTTACCTTATAGTGTGAAACTACTGCAAGCGGATAATAGTCATAAAGTCTTCCGTCCAGAATGATATTATAATGCATAAATTAACACAACTATAATAGTACCTAAATAAAGACAGAAACATCAGCTAAATCATATTGTCTTTCCACGTTGTCCTCCAAAGCTAGGAAGCCGTCTTGGCCTCTTTTCTAACCCACCACCAAGAAAACTATATTAACACACCCCCTCCAATATTCCAGTCCCTCACCCATTCAATAGCAATATCTGCCTAAAGGTTATTAACATTAGTTAACATTAGCCACCAATCATACCAGACAAGTACTGCTGAATTAAAGTGAGCAAGCATGTGTTTTATTGTTTCTGAATTACATTTTTAATTCACAAGAGGAATAATGTGTTATTTCATTTTCAAAAAGTGACACAGCCTTGCTTTAACCAGCAGTGTTGGCAGGCATGGACTTTTGTTATCTTATATGGGATGCCATGTGTGGAATCTTCACTCAACCTTGACAAACTGTACATAATCAGAGAGCACAATGCCTCTGTCAACAATTTAAGATTCTTATTGCAGGGGGTTGTGGCTTTGATGATGTATTTAACATTATGTGATAAAAAAAAAAGGTATTTTTGAACGCACTGTACAAATCTAATGCTGAACCATGGATGGAACACCCAAAGGCATAAAAGGTAGCACACAAATATTTCCTGGACAAAGTTGGGCTAAATCCTTCTAACTTACTGTACCAAATGTTTCTGATAATATATCATGTTACATAGTGAATGCTGGGTCACACTCACAGGAATGAGTACACAATGCCCTGCCAAATATAACAAAAGCCATGCATGTGTATGTGTGTGAGAAATGACACAGTGGTGTGTCTCCACTCATGGTGATGATGCACATGTTTTCTCTGTTACATTTTGCTTTGTCTGTGTGTGTGCCCTGTTAATGGCCAATGTGTTTGGTCACAGCATGGCACAGCAAGTTGTATGTGTGTGTGTGTGTGCACTGTGTGCTTTGTTGCTATGGAAACATTCTCTGTACTGTTTTTCAGTGCAGAAGTCTGGGGGGACGCAACTGAAGCTGGTGATGTCATTTCCCAACTATGGACAAGCCATGTTTAAACCCATGAAGTGAGTTTCAAGTGGCAAATCCAACACTTGCTCATATTACAAGGAATGTATGAAGTCCAAAAAAAGATGAAATCCTTGCAGTTGTGTTAACAACAATCTGATAAATCATGAGGTTAAACTGTAGAAGCAAAAGAGAAGGATTTTTAAGCCTTCACAAAGTGGAGAAATGTATTGTATGTATGAGTGAGTAAATGTTAGGAAGCACGGTGTCAAATATTTCATTATCTGAAGTGTTGGGAGATTTTATGGTGAACAGAAACTACCCAGCTCATGTGTGCTTGTTCGAAGAAAGTGAGCAAATAAAAGAGGCTTTACTTGATAATTAATGTATTCTGTGCTGTAGTTTGACTTTGCTTCTGCCTGGCAGGCAGGAGAGAGATGAAGAAACCAATTACAACCTCTACTACTTCTCAGACTTTGAGAGACATAATGCAGAAATTGCAGCTTTTCACCTGGACAGGTACCAAGTCCATTTTCCTTATCATGAAATAACATCATAACACTGCCTGAGTTTGCACAGTGAGTGAAATGGTGGATGAAATGGTCTGCATAATGAATAAATGTTACATAACACTGAATTGCATTTTCTTCTCTCCTCCCTTTCTTTTCTGGATTTCTCTTTCTGTCTCTGTCCGTCTCACGTGTCTTTGTCCTCATCTCATACTTTCTTCCACTCTCTCTGCAGGATTTTGGGTTACAGGAGAATCCCTCCAGTGGTTGGGAGGCTTGTGGATGTGGTCACGGAGATAAAAGATGTCACTACTGACCACAAGCTGGCCCGAACCTTTTTTACCTCCCCTGGTACCGCTCACACAATCCTCTATTATTCATTTAGCCGGCTTAAAATGCCCTTGTGTGTCAACTGATTAGGAATCTCTTTGAATGTTCTTTCTTTCTTATTATTCTCTCTTGTCACAACCCACAAACTCTTTTATCCCATTTTTTCCTTTGCCATATTCATTTTCTCCTCTCCTCTCTTCTTGTCTCTCTGTGCTCCTCTGGCTCCCCCTAGTGGGTAGTTCATGTTTCTACGGCCAGTGCTCCTACTACTGTTCAACAGAGCACGCTGTATGTGGCCGCCCCAGAGACCTGGAAGCCTCCTTGGCTGTCATGCTGCCGGATCTCTCCCTGGCATCCCGCAGGACCTGGAGATCCCCCTGGAGACGCACCTACAGCCGCAGCAAGCTGGAAAAGTTAGTGGGTATAGGGTCTTTAGTCATAGAGGAACCAGTGTTCTGGATGACATAAAGTGATTCAGCATATCACCTTAGCTGACCCCCAAAACTTAATGAGACCATGATAATGAAGAATGCTGTTTTTTGATCAACCTAATTAAGTGTTTTACAGTTATTATTTAATTATGTTTTTATTTAGGTTACAGCTACAGCCTTTAGTCATCCTTAATTAAAGTCATGCCACATGAATTTTGAGATGCCAGCAGAGTTGCTGCACAGAAACAAGACTTAGAAAATTGGCAGCTCCTGCTGGCATCTATACCTGCATGTGTGATTCAGATTATGCCGGATTGCATTATGGCACAATACAGGGGGAGGACTGATTTTTGTTCAGCCAAAACAAGTGGAAGGCAAGTATCTGTTGTCTTCAGCAAAATGAAGCAGAAAAGAAAGCAGTTGAAATACTAGAAATATATTCCTAATTTTGGAGAAACATACAACTAAGCGATAGGGGCAACCAGTCATATCAACTACATGTGCTTTTGTTTAAGGAAATCATGCCAAAGGGTGAATAAAGTCCGTCTCTGTTCCAGGTGGAAGTCAGATCCAGACTACTGTTCGACAGTGAAAAAGACGCCACCATACGACAAAGGCACAAGACTGGTGGACTTCATAGATATGGTCATACTGGACTTCTTGATGAGTAGGTTTAAACAATGTACAATGTAAACTCTATATAGGTCGAGTGAATGGGCATGACTCACAGCAGAAGAGTCTGGCATAGGTTTGACTTCTTACTCAAACCTTTTTGATGTTTTAATGGTGATAGATTTTTCACAGAGGACATTTCATAGCAGGAATACCACAGGTGCAATTAATAGCATTAATCATAGCTGCATTCAATTTAGGTTTAGCAGCTCTAGGGGTAAAGTGCCTGTGGTTCTGATATAAAGCAATGTATCCTGTGAAAAAGGTCCATGCAGCAGAACAATTATGCCCAGATATTGCAAGACATTTAATGCCAATGTATGTACGCGTT